TGAGAACTAAAGGAGGCTTCGAGGGTGTACTGAGAAACAAAGAAGTAACCGTTCAACCAAGTATATTGAAATACTGTCTGTCGAAGTCTGCCTTTTCTATCATAGAAACAGGCGGTCTTTAAATACACAAATCTGTTCATGTCTAGCATGAACGAAACTAATCAAAGGTATCAATCGATACACTTTGGTAAAACTCCTTAAGTATCAAAGCGATACTTAAAACAAAACATAAAACAAAACCAAGTATCAAAGCGATACTTAAAACAAAACCAAGTATCAAAGCGATACTTAAAACAAACCAAGTATCAAAGCGATACTTAAAATAAAACATAAAACAAAACCAAGTATCAAAGCGATACTTAAAACAAAACCAAGTATCAAAGCGATACTTAAAACAAAACATAAAATAAAACCAAGTATCAAAGCGATACTTAAAACAAAACCAATAACCGAGTACCCGTACCGGTTACAGATAGCATCTACTCTCTACACAAGCCTGCCAGAATCTTCTTTTGAACCAAGGCCATACATTCTCAAGTGGATTCAAGTCTGGAGAATAAGTAGGCCAGTCCATTCGGTAAATCCAGTTCATACACCAAAACTTTATTGTATCTACAGAAGTGTAGTATTTGGTACTATCCTCTAAGATCTGAATTCCTTCCTCAAAGCCTTCACGTCGTTCATACTTGGGCAGGATGTGGGGTATGAGAATCTTATTAACATACTGGACAGAATTAAAGCCCAATTTGTCTCTCTTGTTGACTCTCTCCATCTCTGTTTTCTTGCGGATCACCACCAATGGGGACCTCCAACTATACGCAAAACCAGCAAAGAACATTACTCAGCGCTTTTCCCCGGGAAAGTGTAACCGGTATGGGTACTCCATTATTGGTTTTGTTTTATGTTTTCTTTTCAGTATCGCTTTAATACTTGGTTTGTTTTAAGTATCGTTTGATACTTGGTTTTGTTTTATGTTTTATTTCAAGTATTGCTTTAATACTTAATTTGTTTTAAGTATCGTTTGATACTTGGTTTTGTTTTATGTTGTGTTTTAAGTATCAGTTGATACTTGGTTTTGTTTTATGTTTTGTTTCAAGTATCACTTTGATACTTATTTTGTTTTAAGTATCATTTGATACTTGGTTTTGTTTTATGTTGTGTTTTAAGTATTGCTTTAATACTTGGTTTGTTTTAAGTATTGTTTGATACTTGGTTTTGTTTTATGTTTTGTTTCAAGTATCGCTTTGATACTTGATTTATTTTAAGTATCGTTTGATACTTGGTTTTGTTTTATATTTTGTTTTAAGTATTGCTTGATGCTTAATTAGTTTTATCAAGTGTATCAATTGATACCTTTGATTAGTTTCATTCATGCTAGACATGAACAGATTTGTGTATTTAAAGACCATCTGATTCCGCGATGGAAGAGGCAGACTTCGAGAGATAGTATTTCAATATACTTGGTTGAACGGTTACTTCTTTGTTCCTCAGTACACCTTCGAAATCTCCTTTAGTTCTCAGCTCTCACCTTCTCTCTAGTAGAGCAGGCCACCTGTCCACCATTGTATTATTACCGCTAACGTGACTAGCACCTTGCAAACACGTTTTAGGAAGGATAGTTCAAGGAATCTTTCCTCATGGGCCATGCCAGGTGGACACCATACTTTGCTTTTATGTCCAGAGTGGCCAACTTCGAGCTTTATTTCATCGGCGTAGATGTGCTTTCTCCATTCCTCCTTCGTCCAATACCTTCTTTCCCAAGCCCATTGCTTTCGTTTGCGCTGATTATCGGGGGTGAGCCATGGCCTCCTGTGGCATATGCCCACATAAAGGTGTATTTCTCAAAGCCTGACTATAATGGTATATGGAGTCACATTTATACCGGAAACTTGTGTAATATCCATTGCAGTAGCATGTGAATCTTGCTCAGCAAGGCGCTTTATATGTCTCATATCTCGGGGAGTCAATTTGGACTTTGGTCCTGGACGGGAGTCAGGCGCGATCTTCTCCCTCTCCTCTCAGAGCCGTACAATCCTCATGACTGTCTGGTGTGAAACACCAACTTCCCTAGCGATTTGCCAATAGCTGCTTCCTTTCACATGCTGTTCAATACACTTCATACACTCCTCCAGTGTAGCCATGTGTCGTTTTCCTGTGGTGGGTAATTTGGACATGTTGCAGGGTATTCTGCTGTTGAGAAGTAGATTTGGAAGTGCAGATTTTTCATGTGGTGTCACATTACTCAACCAATTCGACTGTATTTAACAGCTGCTTTTTGCTAATAGGACTAAGGAGAACACATTCTACTTTATGTTTGGTATTATAAAAGGTAAAAAGGTAATATTATAGGCTTGGACAATCAGAAATGGCTGGAAATTTAATATTATATTGAGTTAATCTATCTTATCAACTGTATGGAATTGGATTTTGTGAGTGGCTTCTGGCTATATGCAATAGTTAAGTTTAATAATCCCTTTTGCAAATAGTGCATATGTTACACTCAAGGTTAAAATTGTCTAAATGGTAATATTACAGGTTTGGACAGTCAGGAATAGCTAGAAATTAAATATTAGGTTCTGTCAATTCCTTTCTTTAACTCTATGGAATTAAAATTTCTGAGTAGCCTTTTAAAGTATGTAATAGTTGACTATAATGAATATATAATTCCATATATTTATTGTTGTGTGAGTTTAAGTGTTAATGTTACCTTGCTGACATATTTTCTTGGCATCATGTAAATATCTTGGCATTTTGGTCACATGATCGTGTTTTTGGAAAAGCTTGTTTTATATAATAGATTCAAACATTCCTTTTTTTTTTCCATCAGAGCACGTCCTCCTTTCTTCTCCATCCCCGGTTCGAGCGAGATTATTGACAGACTAAGATAGCCAAACAATCATGTCGTCTGCCGATCGTTCCGCATGGCGCAATACTTTCATCTACGATTCCAACAATCGTGATACGGTGCTCGGAGGCCTCTGGGCCACACCAGGTATTACCAACGCCAATCTCTATTCCATGCTGGAGATTTTTTGTTTGTTTAGCAACCCTTTCGAGCTACGCGACGAGGATGGACGGTTAGTTGAAAAGGATGAGGCACAGCTTCAGGCAGGCAATTACTATATTGGCACTGAGGGTGGGTTTCTTCTGCGCTTTCCATATTTAGCCGCTCCTTACTCTGAATAGGCACCATCACTCTCACTGACGAGGTCCCGCTACTTCGTACGATTTCGTTGCAGTCCGGAACCCGTGTTGCTGCGTTCCGTGATGAAGTACGTGAGCGGGACGGGGCCTGTGTTTTCACCGGTATCCGATCAAGCAGGTGGAGAGCCATGCAAGCCGTTCACATCTTTCCCCTGGCATACGAGGGGTACTGGAAAGACCATAACTACGGCCGTTGGATTACCGTTCCGCCGACAAATCCCTCCCACGGATCGATCAACTCTGTACAGAATGGGATCTTGCTCGATTCCAGTATGCACCACTATTTTGATTTCTATGATTTGACAATCAATCCCGATGTATGGATGGCTAGATCTTCAAGTCTTCACGGCTAATGGTTGTGTAGGATAACTACAAGATCGTCTCCTTCGCAGAGGAATCCGCCCAATATAACATCGCTGGCCAACTTAATCAGTCATTCCTCGATAATCCTCTCCGACCGGTCGATCAGCTTCTCCGCTGGCATTTTCGCCAGGCAGTGCTCACGAATGTGAAGGGAGCTGGGGAGCCTTGTTTTGAGCACGATTTCCCGCCTGGCACGGACATGATGGGTGAGATCATGAGCGGTCCAAAAGCTGGAGAGAGGATGGAGTTTGAGCTGTTTAGCCGCTTTAATGCAGCGGGGGGTTCGCACGTGGTGAAGTCTACCTAGAGCACTACTAACACAATATCCAATATAACTAGCTTTACCACCGGTGTTCGCTCATGAATTCACCGGAAACCAACCGAGCTCGGAGGTGTGATGTTAAACAAGACGAGGTATAATTTATTATCTTACCGTAGTTGAGCCGAACCGGTATACTCCCGCGGCGGAGTTGAAGTTGGACACCCACAAAGCATAGTGATTTCCAGTGGTATGACAGTGCGCCGCACCGGTACTCGCATGTGTGATACAAACACTATATCTGAGCTAACTACCTCCCTAATGTAAACTATCGTACCGGTGCCGTACTGCACTCGTACTGGTACAGTGCATTGAGAGATATATAGGCTTGAAATCTGCTGCTTAGAGAGGCTAGAGATAAAGATGCCCCCGCCTTTTGCCCTCAGGCATTGTACGAGTAGATGTTGCTACCAAACCATAAATTATGTGAACGACGTACTGTACAGGTTGCCATGAACCTAACTACTCGTACAGTTATAATGTCGTATCATACCTAGGCTCATAGCTAAGGCATTAATGGGCAGTGTGAAGTGCAGTGCAGCGCAGTGCATCGCTGGGCAGGCCATGCCCCCCACCATCCGTTTGCTGTCGTTTGGCCAACTCTACCGAACTGTACCGTGCTATCTCACATCTGATGCCTTACTGGGAAAGGAACGCCGGTGTTCGTACAGCATTCATTTATTAGCAGGTTTTGTTTCAATAGCTTGTGTACACTCGAGTATCGCTCGCTCCCTTACGGTACTTGCTTGGGTTGAGAGGGCTGGTTATTCCCATCCTTTTTCCCTCACCGATAGAGCCAACCACTCCAATTTCCTCACCCCTCTCATCCCGCTACCTACAAGGTTGGGGAGAGAAAAATGCATGGCTTTGTATTGTGTTCTTGCTTCTACACATAACCCGTGTTCACCGCACTTTAGTACCGGTATTCATATCACGCGCACCGGATAAGTTATCGGTCTGACGTTCGGGGTCTACAGTAACCCACTCAGGATCTCTCTGGCCCGGATGGTTGGTGCTTGGTGTTGCTACCCAGCATCGCAGTGGTTGTCCATTCGTTGTTGCTCACCTTGTGAACCAGTCGGTTGCCGGTTGCCTCGCCCCGGCCAGAGACACACAACCACGGTATTCCCCCCCACAGGGTTTCCCACAACCACCCTCCCACCCTTTTCTCCATTCCCGCGCCCCCATTTCAGCTCCTCCCACCAATCCATACCGCTGTCTCGGTACCATTCCGTTCCTTCTTTCTTTTGTCTATTCGTTTCCTTTTTTCCTTACCCATACACTTGCCAATCACGGTAACGTAAAACGGTTACCCGCACCTCTTTCCCCCAGCCCAGTGAGGAAGAGGAGTGACATCTGAGGGAGGAAGAAATCTCTACAGTTCCTACACGCTGTATATTACGGCACCGTAACCTGTTGTTATTGAGGGAGTGCGGGAGAGGGAGAAAAAAGAGGAGCTGGTCGGGAAGAGGATCGATTCCGCGGTACATATCAAACGGGATACAGAAGTTGGTCTAGTTTTCCCTTCAGATACATACTGTACATCAAACGCGGTTATCCGTCGGAAACATCTTGCGCCCCTGGGGTTGGTGCGATTAGGGTTTGTTTTAGCGGTCAGAGTTCCACTGGTGCTAGGGAAATACCGTGCCGTCATAGTATCATACATACATACGGTACAGTAGTTTCACTTCCTTCGCCGACGAAGCGACTGCTGTTTTAACTTGGCGTCCTCCCTCACGCCTTCTCCATTCCCTTGTCGCAACGACCATCACCAGCGCGCCGTTATAACTGTCCTGGTCACCCCCTTTCCCACATTCTCTCGCCAAAGAAATAAGATGGGTGTATGTTTATCTTGTCTCGGTATTCGCCAAAAAGACGACGTAGTTATCCCTTCTCCCCATTCAATCATTCATCATTAACAACAAACATACCTTAGTCCGAACATCAACGCCTTCTTGCGGCCCCAAACGATCACCTCCACAGCCATTCCTATACCAATGGGAATTTCGCTAATTCCTCACACCACCACTCAATCCCGGACCCTCAAGCGCTTCTTCATGAACGCGAATACCTAGATCGTCTCGTGGCGCAGACGTCAGAAAATCTTATTGACATATTCGCCCCTCCAACGCTCACACACAGCAACTCTACCGCTACGCCAAATAGTCGCGGCGAGTGGTATCGCAGCGTACTCAGTAAAACTAGTCCGCCCAACCACGGGCCCGAAATGCCCGTCGTTTTGGATCCCGGTGTTGTCGGCGGTCCCGAGAGAGAATGGTTGGAAAGTGTGCTGAAAGGCGGTGAAGAGGCAGTGAGAGAAGTTGGCAAGGTAAAGGGCGTCGGAAAATTGGTGGTTGGGCTGGATTACGAGGGGTGATGGCTTCTTTCGTGGCATGGAATGGTTTTAATGTCCGGGTTGAGCATGGGAATGGAGGAGGTAATTAGGGGTTTCTTTTCTTTCTGTTTCACCAAAGCTTATTGGTTACTAACGATTACCACCACCACTAACTAACTACACTGCACCACTGACATATCTGCTTTTCCCTCCGCAAATCTTTTTTTTTCCTTGCACTTTTTTATTTATAAGGGGCGTTTTTATTCATCTCCCTATCTTCAGTCCAACTTCTCTATACTGGCAAGCACTGCTATAACGAATCTCTTTTTTCTTTTTTGTTGGCATTAGCTATGCGAATGTATTTTTCTTTCTCGTTACCATGCTGTGTCTAGGGGAAGTCACCGGCGGGTTTGAGGCGCACTGGGAGGGCGAGGTATTATGGGTGAGATATTCTATTATGTTTTTATATATACAGATAATTTTATCATTCAGTCGTGCTCTTATACGGCTCTGTCTCTCCTATCTCCTACTGCTATACATCTGGCCTGGAGGACCCTGTTTATAATGTGATTGACCTCTTGTCAAACAACACCGATAGCAAACAAACAACGAAGCATCGTTAGCCTACACGTCCACTCAGTTTCCTCATCCTATGCCCTCGTAAAAGTTGGACTAGCCCTACGCGTACACACATGCCCGCAGGCGTCCTCATCATCACAGTGTTCCCTCTCTCCATCCTCCTCCCCTCACCCTCCTCCCTCTTCCCTTCATCCGCCACTTCCCCCGCCTTTCATCCCTATCATCCATTCTATCATATGGCACTTCCGTCACTCCCTCCCTTACCCCACCTCCTTACACCACCTTCTCACCCACCCCCCAATCGATCTATTATATATCCACCAAATTCTTCTCTTTTAACTATGGACCCACATCTACCGCCCCCAATCGATGGTGAGCCAATTTCTCTCCGACGAGATGCTTTTACTGGGCATCCTGCGGTTAGGGTATTTGACTCGATTGGTCAAAATTTTAAGTTTGCTCCCCCCGCCAGGAACGAAGGTGCTTGACTCCATCCTTTTGAAAATATTGCCTCTACTTACGATACATTTAGCACCCAGTTCACTTTCCATAAATACTGCTGAGAGAGATGAAACTAGGGGTAAGAGTGCATGTATTCTTGCTTAAGAAGTTACTAATTCCATAGCTTTAAAATCGAATTCTTCATTTGGGCTACTTAACCCGGGCCCCCCTAATGGTAACAGAGAGAGGCCAATTGAAACCCAAGATAGCAGATTTCCTCTCCCCAAGATGAACAGGCCCACCAAGGGAGAGAGGCCCCATGGCTAGACCACATGGCTCAATAAAACCCGCGGTCATCGTCTTGGACGATGACGGCGATGAGGCGGAAGGCAAAGGCTCTGCAACCGCTTCTGCTCTAGGAAGCGGACCTTCCGAGAATATTTGTGGTATTGATATACACTATAGTGCAGCGCAGAGAGAGAAAGTTCTGAGATCTAGAGAAGATGGTCCCCGCCTAAGGAAAAGACCCAACGGGCTTCCTTCTACAATCTCTGATTCTTCAGTCCAGTCTTCTCAAGCCAGCGGGCGAACCGTACTTTCTCATAACCGGAATCTGAGAGGGCACCATGACCATCACCCGGCTTCTGTAACCGGTAAAAACAAACCAGATCCCTCAACTCCCACTCCACCGAAATCTAGTGATGCCCTAGATTCGAACCGAAGTCAGCGCGATCTTCTGATAGCAATAAACAGCCTTTCAGCAGAAAAGGAGTCTATTGAAAAAGAGCTGATGGCGAAGGAATTGGCATTGAAAGCAGAGCATCGTCTTGTTGAGGCCGAGAGAAATAAAATTGCCCAGCTTGAGGACAAGATTGCAAAAGATAATAAGAAAATCTCTAGCATTAGGGAAAGAGCTGATGGCTTGCAGAAGTTTTTCAATGGCATGGGGTGCGACTACAAAGTTTTGCAAGAGAAGTACGCAAAGCTAAAGGCTCTGCTCAACGAGGTCTGCAAAGAGAGAGAGGATATACGGAGTGGCCGTGAAGAAATTCGACTAGTAGTTCAAAAACTTGAGGGGAAGAATTGTGAGCTTTTGGAATCTATATCCCATACAAAAGAGAAACTATTAGGATTTGAAAAGTGTATATTTACCGCTACCCCCGTCATAAGGGCACTATGTTAACAATGGTTTAGTGAATGAAGCCAACGTTTATCTTCAACAGCAATTGTCTGAGAATGCGGGCCTTCTGGCAACCGAGAGGGATAGAGTGCAAACGCTAGAGCTGCAAGCCCGAGAGGACCTTAATTATTTTCGTCATGAAATCGAGCAGAGACAAATTTTGTTTGACGTTACACAGAAAAATCTCACAGACTTTGAAAAACAAATTTCTGAAGTCGGTACTATAGAGCGAGCCATTGGAAAAATCAAGGAGTCTAATTCAAAAATTCCCGAACTGGTTATTCAAAACTTGTCGACTAAATACGCGCAACTGGAGACTAACCTGAGCATTCGTGATCACGATATTAAAAGCATAATCGAGGATGTTGTGAACAAAGGCTTGGAGCGTTCTGAGCAGAAGTACGTAAATCTATGATACGATCTCGAGTGATATTTCAGAGCTGACATGGACAAGATTGAGTGGATTGGCCTCAATTTTTGAGAAAACGGATGTGCGATCAGATTATTCGAAAATGGTGAATGAGTGTAAGAAATTATTTGATGAGTAAGTCGCCAGTCCCCCATTCATAAGCGCCAGGCCGTCTAACGGATATCAGCATTGTAAAAATATCTACGCGATCGCATAAGATTACCTCTGATTCGGCTAGCCTTGGGAACGAGTTTGTTGAACATCTTAAATCTCAAATCCATCACCTGGAATGCCAACTCGAAGAAATGCAGGAATCTCGCAGTCTTGATCAAGCGAAACTTACTCAGAAAGAAGTCCAACTGAATGCTTTAAAGCATGAACTTGAAGAAAATCGGAGTGAGGGGCTTCTCTGCAATCGGATAGAATCTCTTCTACAGAGCAGGTGGTGACCGAATAACCCTTTTTTTATAAACACTCCTTTCTAATTTGTCATATAGGAATGCCATCTTGAGCGAGGAAATTGCATCTCTCGTTCCAAACATCCATAATGGATCAGGGGATAGTTCAATTGCCGCTCTCAAGCTGGAGTTTTCCGAACTAAATGGGAAACTTGAACAGATTGCGGGAAGCTTCAATAATCACTTGTCAGAAAAAAACAGGGAGATTAGTCGACTGGAATCTCAAGCTAAAAGTTTGGATTTTCTTTACTCCGAGGCTTGCGAGAAAATTGCGAACTTTGATAAGGAAAAGGCGGAGTATATTTCCGTTATTGGAGGCCAGAGGCTACAGGAGCGTATAGACCTAGAAAACGCAGCCAATAGCCTCAGGCTTTCGGAAACATCCAGTCTCAATAATAGGATCAGATCATTAGAGGTCCAGAAGGAGAGACTTGAGGCTGCAAACGCACTGCTGGAAGAGAAGCTTTTGGCACAAACTTCAAATGATTCGGTACGTTTTTGATTGATTCTCTTAGCCGCTCAAAAGTATTCACTGGGGGCGCTCTGACGATAAAAACTATAGCCAGGACATGAGGAACTACGGATAACGGTATGGATTGACGACCCTTATAATTCAAATATTAAAGATTTTCTGACAGAAATTAGGCAGCCGATTTGGAGAGGGCTAATTCGGAAACGATGGACAAATGCAATAATCTGGAACGAGAATTACGTGAGCTCACCTTTCGGTCCTCCATGGAGCGTGCTCTAGCGGTTGCCAAGTACCAGCAACTCACCTCCGAGTCGGAGCAGCTTCAACGGCGGGTCGAAGATTTACAGATCAACCTGGTTGCCTCAAATCAAGAATTAATTGATACACAAGCTGAACGCAAAGTGCTCTGTCAAGGCCTTCGCGACACAGTGCAAAGACTTGAGACAAGTGAAGCTACCCTGAATAGGCTAATTTTGATCACCATTCAGGGTCGTAGTGAAAAGGAGTCGTTGGTTGTAAGGTTAAGAAATCTGGAGGACGAGAACCGGAGACTTCCCGGGAACGATGTAGAGATGATATCTCCGGCACCCAAAGAGTCAGGACAGTCCCGCGACGCTTTTCCTGCACCACAGTCCCCCCGGAGGAGCGAAGCTATTAGGAAGAGCGGAAAGGTAATGTTTTCTTTCTGATGGTTGAATGTGACTAACAAAATTTTCAAAGGATAAATCCCTCGAATCGCCGATAATGAGCCTAACTAGCATTGGCGATGCACCCGAATTCCGGCGTGCGCAGCTCAATGATGAGGAGGAAGTGGACTACCAAGGATTGGTGGCTGAAATTCTATACACGAATGGCAAGGGGCGGGTAAATGAAAACGTTACTAATGCCGAACCTCTCATAAGGCCCGTAGCCCCCCGCTCCAAGCCCAAGGGATCCCAGGTTGAGTTTGAGTTTGGCAACTCAGGGAAGAGGTACAATCAAGCATTAAAATCATTATCTTCGACTCGCAAGGCGCCGGTTACTAGGACTAAGGTTATGGGGGATTCACAAAATCCTGATGAGGGGAAATACCGGACCCTACCACCAATGTCCTCACCACAGCCCAGTTTTACTCCAGCTAATCTCAACAACGACGGCCCTAGCAAGTTTAATCCCGAAGAGTCTGTATGGAGTGCCTTGAGCCGCCAGTTTCAACCGAACCAGCCTCCTCAAGTTGCGGAAAAAACTAAGGTGCCCTCTGGACACCACTCTGAGGCCTTAGGCCATGAGACTGGGAAGCAGACTAAACCTAAGCTTGCTCGCCATAGGAACAAGAAAGCCGGGGACGAGGACGTGACGACTGAGGAATCCACAAAAGAACAGGAGAGCGGAGAAAAGGGGGCAGGAGCCTATAGCTCCGGTTCCTTCAGAGCTGTCCAAAAGAAAAAGAGAGCTTTGAAGAAGCGCTAGAATGGGTATTTGATTTATAATAATACAATATTCATTTTTTGTTATTCTTTAAATGGCTGTTTATTAGTGGTCTTGCTTCTTTGAGATTTTACGCAGCGGATGTCTGACGCTTGTATTGGCTGCGTTTACATGTTGAGGTTGCAGTTTAGTGGAATTGATCTGAACCTCTTAGCTATATATTGGTAGCTCCACTGTCCTGGGCACCAAGAGGTAAATGTTTTGAAGGCGAGGACCACTACTCTGATGGCTGGCACCCGAAACTCAAGTGACCCCAAGCATCAATCGAACAAAGCCCCACCATCGCACGGAGAAATCTATCCCGGACAATCTATATACACACCCACCATACCACGGAACCCCTCCAAACCCCCAATCTACCGATTCTTCCCCCTCTTCTGTTCTAAAAACAACACCCGTCGCTTAACTAGCTCCCCCCGCCAATCAGCCGCCCCACCCTCATCTCCCCTCAAGGAAGCAAAGGAAAAACATACCAACAGGATCATACTTTATCATGCTCAAGGGCTTATGCGTGCGGGGGCGCACAAACGACTTGAAGTATCCGGTCATGGCCATGGATATCAATCGTACGACGATGTTTCGGGATTTCGCTGCTGGTAGGTTAGCCGAATCCGGCGGGGTGGGTGACCGGTGACGAGGGGGTACCTTTTTTAGCCATGATTTTTTGGCTAGGCAGGTGGATGGGGATGGGTGGATGGAAGTGATTTGAGGAGGTTTGGTTCGATTTGAGTAGGAGTGGGAAGGTTACCCGGTTTTTAGAATTCGGGGTTAGGGTTGGAATTAATGGGTGGGTGGGGACTGGGGAGAGGTGTGAAAGTCTTGAAAAAGGGGAAATTTGGGATGGAGTTGGTAGGGTTGGAGTGTTTTTTGGTGGTGAGGACATGGGAATCGGGTTAGCGGGATGTGATAGGGTGTGAAGGGGGGTCATTGGATGTCACTCGGCAGCGCATTACAGGAGGTGGGCTGCTCGGGTATGATACCTTCAAGTTTAGTATGATAGCTTGGCTTATTTTCTGGGCGGCATGTATGGCGAAATGCGAACGGAACGAATAAATAGAGAGAGTGGATGACAGTGGTGGGTAGGTCAAGAGCTGGGCGAGAGTTCCTCGTGGATGCTTGGTGGCATAAGGGTTCACTATGGAATGGGATCCTCAACGTTCACCAGTATGATTCAAAGCACTTCAAACTAGTGCCAAGCCTGTTGCATTCTGAAACGCCTCTATTTATGAGGATAAAGGTTTACGAATTAGGAAAATGTATTTTAAAGGTCCCTTGGCCAATTCGGGTCTCTAGTCAAGTTTCATAAATTTTCATGGGCAGCCATAAGTGTTCCCAATCACTGATATATTCACGGTACAAACTCAAACCCCATGTGTGATAATAGATTACGTATAGTGATAGTCTATCAGTCTCATATCATATCATACCAGTACGAGTACATCTAGTCCATGTCACTTTGAGTCTCATAGAAACTAATGCTAGGTTACGGGTTGCAAAGCCTTCGCCAAGCCACCAAAGGCTCTGGTGTTGCATCCGCAAACACTTGCGAGTAGGTACATAGGGTTTAGTCCGCTTCCGGGTGTTGTGTGGTAAAGCTAATTGTGCTCGAGTATGATCTATGATACGAGTGACTCCGGGGCACTGGGAAACATCCTCTCGCCAGCCCCACTCTCTCGAGTGGCGCCTGGCAGTAGGCTCTTCATTGATGTCGGAACCCCCCCTAACTTCCAAGATGCTCCCTCTCCTCCGGTTAGAGACGCAATAGACGACCCCCTATCCGGGTTGGCTATTTTTGATGGATTTTGCGACCTAGGCTGACCCCGACTCCCCGCATCTGACGGCACTTCTCCTATAGAATTGCCAGCATTGCTATGGCAAACGCTCCAGTGAACACCAGGAGCCGGTGAGCCGATCCCAGGAGGGGGTCGTGATATGTTGATTACGGATCGAATGGGGTAGACGATATAGGGACCATCGGTAGAGAGCGAACCAAGCCCACTCCCCGGTCCCGTGGTGGTACTAAATCACCCTGGAGATGTTGGGCCACAATGATGAGAGTAGAAGGGAAACAATTCAGAAGACGACCTTCCACAGGTGGGTGAAGGTGAAAAGGGGGTTTGTTCATTCTGTGATTCTGAGAATGTATCGACTTCCAAGGGGTCGTCAACAATCTTCTCAGCCAGTTTGTTTTCCATTATAGCGGCCGGGGGAGTGTACATTGGAATTCTCAGGGACAGCAATGTGTTCAAATGTGGAACAAATGAATTGTGTTGCACCGGACGTCGTTGGTTGTAATCGTGCACCAACACTGTACCGGTACTGAATCCTTATTTTCATTATATCTAGCCAGGGCGCCGCCCGTTTCACCAACTAAATGGTATCTAGCTAACCGGCATGAGATGCTCCTCCCAGCCAAGGGCCCACTTGTCAAAAGAAATCCTCCTCCCTTACCCTGCAGTCCTACCCTGCCACAAAGGAAACTCCCCCTCCCTACTTCCACATTCCTCAACAAAATTAGTTCCCTCACAAAAGAAACACAGCCCTGCACCCTTGCCCGCTGCTTGTGAACAACGAAAATCCTCCTACAAAAGAAACCTATCCTGTCACCTCTGTGCCCAATAGTCATGTACGTAAGGAAATATAACCATGAAAGGAACCTGCCCTGTCCCCTCCGGGCCCAGCAGTTGTGTACGTAAGGAAATAAACTCATTGTCCCAGCTATAAAGCCACTGGGCTCCAAGGCACTGCCGACGTCTCGTGGGTGACTCTCCCTACCTGGCCATAGGGCCACAGTACCTTGGCTCGTTGGTCTTAGCATGTGCCGCCTTGGCCGCCTTGGATTTTCTGATCATGGTGTCGCAGCCAGGTATGGGAGAAGGATCCTTGTTGTGGACCCTCTTGTAGGGCTTCTGGGATCCCGAAGGTTGGGACGTGGGGAGGTTGATGTTGGCTCCGTGGACCTGGGCGGACACACTCTGGTCAGGGTAGGGCTTTTGTCCTGTAAGGCGGGTGGCCAGGTTGGGATCCACGAGAGGACATCCTTCTGTCTCCTGTCGGACCGGAAATCGAGGTCAGTCAGTTTGATGAAGTTGCAGCCGGTCTTCAGGTGGGCAGGGGAAACATTGGCGATACCACAGACGCAGGGGTTGGCCTTCCAGACGTACGTTTCGAAGGGCCAGCCAGCGCTAGTGCGGAGTCCCAACAGTGTGCGGAACTGTGGGTGCGTGGTGCCTATTAGGTATTTGTATTTGGGTCTTGGCCTTCCTGAGTAACGGTTACTTTTTGACTTGGTGTCCTCGGTCCCATGTCCAACAGGTGTCTTTTCAGTCCTCCTTGTCCGAGGTTGAGGGAGAGCGCACCTTCGATGATTTCCCTAGCCCCTCCTTCCCTGGCCTATTGTCGTGTCCATTGGGAGTGGCGATCCAGGGTGTGAACACGTAGGGCCAGCAGGTTTTTTTGATGGGTAGCGTAGAGCCCCAGTGGTGGGATTCCCAGTTCGGCGTAAAGGGCTGCCAGTGGGACCTTCTTTTCGATCCCGAAAGCCAAGCGCAAGATGCCATTCAATGCGGTTTGGGCTGTCCCGAAGATGGATTTGCCCCTCCCATACCTCGATGCCGTAGGTCAGCTATGGTAGGACGAGGCCTTGGACAAGTTAGGGTGTTGTCCACATGTTTAGGCCGCCTTTCTTATACCGGGCTGTGATGGTACTCACACTTTGGCCTGAGGTAGTGGCTTCCTTGACCCAGCGTAATATGTGGTTTTTCCAGGTATAGTCCATTGAGATGATGTACCCCAGCCATCTTAATACCATGGGTTCCGCTGGCTTCTGGTCCGGCCAAAGGGGTTTCCGCCTTTCCTTTTCCAGCGTCTTGATTTCTATGGATTCCGTTTTCGACACTGCAAAGCTGTATCCCAGGTCTACTGCGTTTTGTCGCAGGGGTTCGAGTGTACCGTCATGGGCTCTCTGGTCTTCATCCCTTTTTTGAAACATAGTGGCGGCGAGGATGTCGCCCACGTAGGTGAGGATGCGTGTGTACGTATTGGGAGCCTTGTCCACTGTGCTGGCCACTAGTTTTCTGACGCTGATCAGGAAGAGGATGGGAGACAGAGGGGATCCCCGCAGTGTGCCTATATCTGTACTGTAGGGTCTGGACGGTTTCCCATTAAACATGTAGCTTGTTTTCCTTCCTGATGCCCAGTTATTGATCCAGGCGCCCACGTGGTGGTCCTGTGACGAGATGGATTTACAGACATCCTCCATAAGCAGGTTGCCAAAGCCTCGTTCCACATCCAAAGCCATGAGGTGGGTGTGTGGGAGACCAGGTTTGGAGACTATGCCATTGAGGGCCTGTGTGGCGTCGGTAGTCCTGTTCCTCTTTCTGCCCCCGTACATGTTGGGTTCTAGAAGATCCAGGGATAGGATTCTGGCCACCACTATCCGTTCCAGGACCTTAGCCAGAATGGGCTGTAGTTGAATAGGCCTCTAGCTCTTGGCCACTGTCACCCAAACCTCGGTGCTGAGTATATCACGAATTATGGGATGAAGGGGGAATCGCAATCCGTGGATTTTATATAAAGGACAAAACTACCCCGCCTGGGACTCCCTAATACTAAAATAAAAGGAAAGCAATTCTCAGATATCCTCTTCCTTAGTTTGTTCTTAGTGAACGGGCAGGCAGGCAGTGGGGCCAGCTCGTTGGACTGGTAGCCGGTATTCTAGTGAACTGTATTTACTCAAAAAAAGCCATGATTCTATTCCAGACGCTCTAGGTTGCTCGTCCATTTGCCGCGATGTCTCCCCAACCCAAACTACTCTTATCCCTGTAAAGTCTGTACTTTGCCGGCGAAAAAAACAATCATATCTTCACCATGCCGGCTAGGTACTGAGAGAAAAGCATCGGGGTCTTTTCATCCTTATTTTCGCCATCCCGGCCCTGTGCTGATATAAATGTTGCCATTGGAAAAATAATAATTCTGGGCTTGACTTGCCCTGGTCGGACACTGCAAATCTTTAATATTAGGGTCTGTGACCCCTGCTTAGATTTTGCGTGACATCCCTGCACCCTGTAGTACTGTATATTCTCCCGCGATTCGCCATCACAGTGGAGGAGGGCGAATCGCAAGAGAATATACGGTACTTGGAAGTACAGTAGTAGTGGAGTAATACGAATAGGGTAGACTTTCAACGATGGATGGACAAGCCATCTAAAAGGCTACTCTACTCATATTACTCTACTACTAATTCTCAGTATTATAGCATGCAAGGATGTTACAAAAAAAAATCTAAGCAAGTGTCACAGACCCTAATATTAAAGATTTGTACTACTTACTATCATTAACGTAGCGTCCGACCAGGGCAGGTCAGGCCCAGAATTTATTTTGTTATAATGGCAACATCTATATCAGCACAAGGGCGGGATGGCGAAAAGAGGGATGAAAAGACCCTCATTCTTTGCTGGCAGTACCCAGCCGGCATGGTGAAGATATAATTGTGTTTTCCCCGGCGGAGTATAGTTTTTGCAGCCATAAGAGAGGTTTGGGTTGGGGAGACATCGCAGGCAAATGGACAAACAACTTGGAGTGTCAGGAATAGAATCATGGCTTTTCCGAGTGAATACAGTGCGTTAGAGCACGTGATACCTGTCCAACGAGCTTCCCCCGCTTCCTGCCTGTTCACTAAGAACAAACTAAATGAAGACGATATCTGAGAATTGCTTTCTTTTTATTCCGGTGGTAGGACGTCTCTGGCGGGGTATCTTGGGTGTTTATATAAAACCTACGGATTGCGACTCCCCTTTCATCTCATAATTCGTGATACCCAGTACCGAGGTTTGAGAAAACATTCTCACCATATATCACTCGATATTGGATTTCGTGTGGCTATTCTAAGTCGGGGTGGAATGGGAGGCAAAAAAGTGATAGACGTGA